TCGCTCGATTCCAAGAAAAGCCAAATAAAGTACGAAGAGAGAAAAGGAATAACTGTATAATAGTGTTGTAATCTTTATAATCTTTATCTCTTTTAATCTTTATTGCAAAATGAAACTCATAATGGTAAAGCAATAACAAAACAATTACATACATATACACGAATTTAAAAAAAAAATATCATCATTTAACTAAATACACAAATCAAGACATAGTTGAAATGAGGAATAAATTTTTTTAATCTAAATTTATATGCTTTTTTTTCCCGGATGTTATTCGTTTGTTTTACTGTTGCAAATTGGATACTTTCGGTTGTTTATCTACCATTGTCTTCGGAAGTAACATACATTGTATTAATTGCTTTTCTAGTGCAATTGCTGATACTTGTCGGATAAATGAATTTTCTGTAACAACAAACGTCCTCTGCGATTGCACAGATAAATTTTCCAGTTAATCGTGGATTAAACCCATAAAAAATATATATGGTAAAAAACTAATTGTGATTAGAATAAATTATCTATTCCAATTCTGGAGTTGTAAACACGTAAAACTGCACATTTTCTTACATGATCAGTGTGGTCATGTTTTTGTCTTAAAATGGTCTGCACTATATATAAGTCAGGTTAATATCAAGTTGTTGATGTAATCCATTTTATTCGCTTAAACACTTTTTCTATATAATTCTTTACTTATATTAAAAGTTAAGAACTTTACAATGAAAAATATGTCTACCATTACAAATTTCTTCAAACACACATGTTTTGAAGATAAATAAGCACAACTTTAACCTGATGTTAAGCATTTGCCGTGGAATTGAATATTGATATACTAACCTTTGTAGTAAAGACCAGTAGCTGCTAAATCGCTTGGTATCTGTTGTAAGGTTCTTGGCCATGTTTTAAATGTGGACAGTCTGTCACAATATAAGGAGTATTGGCTATTATACGGGCTCACACTCTTTTCCGGAGATTTGTTTATTTTCGTCTGACATGTCTGAGCTGAGTTAGCTCCTTACACAGTTATTGTTCTTCACACGAACAAGCTCACATTGTCCGAAATGTTTAGAATGTTCACGATGGACATCATCGTCTTTTGTCCAGCCACTTAGAATCCCTCCACAGAAAGCACACTGGACCTTGTCTTGGATTCCCATATAGTAGAACCCATTGTCACACAACTTTCCCGGTGACACGAAAATATGTAATGGCCAGTTTATGAATGTGTTCCTCCTTAATTCAACATCTACACGTAATGGGTGTAACCTTTCCAGTGGGTGCTGAGGTACTTCATCGTAGCCCCTTCTTAACAAGGACGTTGACTGCATAACTGATAAAAAACTGATTGTATTTACTTCGACTGTACAACTAGAAGAACAAATAATTTCAAAGAACAAAGAACAACATGAAAAGAAAAAAAAAAGACTTGGTATGTGAGATTAGTTAAGTGTACTATTAACACTTGTATTAATATATCTATTAAAGTTATTGGTCACATGATGTAGTAATGGTCAAGTGATTGTTTGCTATAAACACGTGTTTGTGTTTATACTAAGCACATGGTTCGTTTTTATGTTAGTTATGATTGAATGCGGCTTTTACGGGTATGTGCAGCTCATGAGATTCGTGAAAAGCATGATTAAGTACAATGTATTACTTAAGGGGTTCGTTTGAGAAATCATAGTTATTCGAAGTTTGCCTATAGTTTACGTAGCAGCAGTTCGTTATCATGTTTAATTTTTTTTGAATTGATTATTGTTAATGTGGGTATATTAATATATTAAATTATATTAATATGTATTTTCCTCTATTGTAGATAGATTTTGATTTTGTATACTTTTATATGATTGGATTGGTAGTGCTTGCCTGAATTTATAGTGAAGGACTTTAGTTTGAAGAATATTGTACACGTAATTAATATTAAAGGCTGCTACACCTGTAGGCACACTTATCCTATTCATGATTTTGTTTTATTTATTAAATAATTTATATTCGTTTGAGCTTGGCGAATTAGAATATAACTAGCAAATGGTTGATTGTGCTTATACTGATACAATACGGAAATTTTTAAAGATAATTTGATATCAAGAGTTTCACATGTTTTAAAGTTTCGTGTAAAATACACACGGTTATTTCCCGTTCACTCACTCATATATCTATGGAAGGTTATTTTGTATACTTTTTTTTACAGTTCTTTTGTAATGTTTTTTTTGTGTTTTACATTAAACAAAAGTTCTTAATATGTAACATAAAATGTTCTGTCAATTGAAAAAACTTTTGATATATATGAATACTGTGTTTTGAACTAAAGAAAACAAAGAAGCAACTATAAATTGTTAAATGGAAAGAACTTGCACTAAATAGTATAATGTAAGAAATCTTTATACTTATGAAAATCTCGAACGTCCTCTTCCTTGTGATCCTTTCAAAGATTAAATCTTTTTGTTCTGTCAAATTATTCAATAATATTCCACTACCACATGCAAACTGTTCATCTAATATTTAATCTTTCGATGATCTTTTGACTATATATGAATATAAGATGATGTGGGGTATACGTCATTGAAACAGCAGCCCAATGACAAAAATAGCCAAAATGCCTGTATATGTCTTTTTGCTCTCATTTCCTGACTACTCATATGCATAAAGTGATTTTGAAAGAATAAGTCATGAGAAGTATGAAGTGACTCACATTTTCCTCTCTCTAAATCGAATTAGTGATTAAGTGATAATGTTAGTCAGTATTCTTTTATTCTCTTTTATATGAAATGTGTTAGATAATACCTACAAGTCTCATTTATATCTTTTTCTAAACAGTAACAATAACTTATGTTTTTGTTTAAAATCCATGAATGTTGTGAAGTTTTCATAATTTAAAATTTTTTTTTTATCCCAAATTGTATTGCTGGAGATGGACAAAATATATAATCGACTTTCATAACGTCTATAAAAAAAATCCACGATTTTTGTGGAAGTAATTTTTGAATTAAGTATAAATCTTTAAACTGAGAATCATTAGCCTATTTTGTTAAATACTCGTGTAACCTCTTGAAAGAACATGTTAAAAAGGTTATTTTTTTTAAACATTATTGCTAGTTTATTCAAATATAGTTCGACATTTCGGTCCATGATAATAAACAAGCCTTAAATGTCAAAATTACTCTCATATATTTATGTATTAGCAATTACGGTAAATGAAATAAAAAATGCAAATACTGAAAACTACGAAAAAATTGACCATGGTCATATGTTCCTGTAGCAAGCCTACGTATATAGTTCTAAGTATACGCGCGAGAATAGAGCATAAAAAATCAAACATTTAACCTCTCGATATTGGTTCACGTCAATGAAACAGCAACCTAACGACAGAAACCCCAAGTATGTCAACCTCTGATTCACTTGAGTCTATAAAAAAGTTGTTAATAAATATAACTATTTAAAGAAAATAAAAATACCACTGTTCTCCTTTCACTTTCACAGTGTAAAATCACAATGAAACTGAAAGTACGAAATCCAATACATATTTTTTTGTCAATTTAACATATTCAAGATTTAAAGAATTGATTTTGAATGTTTTGCATACTTTACGTTTGAAATTTCCTTTAAAAATTACATACAGGCGAGACATATTTTTAGCTTATCTCTATTTCACATCTGATATCTCGTTATACATTCAGTTTCATTGTGATTTTACACTGTGAGTGAAAGGAGAACCATGGTAATTTTATTTTCTGTAAATAGTACGGCCTATTTTTGTTATATTATTTACTTGTGTTTGATATGAGGGTAAAGATATAATGTTATAGTATAGCGAAATGATACCTTTCTTAATTGTTTTTGTGTCATGATACTTTTTGAATGTCCCTCTGGTATCTTTCGCCCCTTTTTTATATAAATATAAGAAGATGTGGTATGAGTGCCAATGAGACAACTCTCCATCCAAGTCACAATTAGTCAAAGTAAACCATTATAGGTCAAAGTACGGCATTCAACACGGAGCCTTGGCTCACACCGAACAGCAACATATAAAGGGCCCCAAAAATGACTAGTGCAAAGCCATTCAAACAGGAAAACCAACGGTTTAATCTATATAAAAAGGGAGAAACGATAAACACTTATGAACCACATCAACAAAACAAACAACAACCACTGAACATCAGGTTCCTTATTTTGGCAAACTTTTGGTTTTTTTTTGTAATTTTTGAATTTTTTTGTTACTTTTTGCATTTTGTTTTTACTTTTTTTCGCAGTTATTTTTTACTTTTGACATTTTATTTTTGGTGGAATTTTACACTACAACTTCATAAGAAATAAGAAATAAGATACTTTATGTTCCGAATGCTTTCTACCAATTCAATTCGCCAATTGTATATTCTACCGCAACACTGTATTCCATTTGAATGGTTGCAAACGGAGACAATTAAAAAAAAAAACCAAGATGAAATATCACAAATTCATAACTTAAAATAATCCAAAGCTAATGAGAGCACTCGGTGTTTCTAGCTCCGATTCCGAATAAAAAATTATATAAGAAAAAATACAGAATGTATTTTTGATATCCGAGGTCATTCATTCAGTATGTTTCGACATTTTGATACGGTCCCTATATTTTTGTAGTTGGTGTAGGTCCGTGTAAGTGTCTGTGTAGACGACTTTTTAAAAATGTCTATTAGTCGCAACGATAGCTCCCTATAGACAATGTTTATGAACTTAATATGTGAGCTAAGGACAAAAATACATGGAATGACATTCATTTATTCTACGTTAAATTTCAAACATTTTCAGCCAAGTACACAAGTCATATTTTCATCTCTTTATGCATTTATGATGGAGGAAAGATATAACATATGATTTTATTATAAAGAAACTTAATATCTATGTCAACACGTAAAAAGGGGAATTCTGTTAAGTCAGAAAGCGTTTGGCTTGTTCGATGTGGAGCTAACTGTATGAAAAGATTGTAAGACAGTGTATTTTACTGGTATGAAAGATAAATGGTATTTCAAATCGTAACTTCGCGTATGTGTAAACGGTCAACAGGAAACAAGTGGACATTTCGGAAACCATTTTTTATGTTCAGCTTGTGGAATGTCTTCACTTTCCCAACCAGAGAGTATCCCTCCACACATATAGCACTGACAGGTGTCTTTAGTACCTGCAAAAATAAAAAAAACAGAGTAATGTTTTGCAGCTTATAAGTTTGGTTGTTATTGATATATGTCAACGACCAACAAAAGTGGAAGATCTTCGATCATACTGCTCTACACGCCAATGGCGTCCAGGGCAGTAAGTAAGTAATTGATCTATCAATTGGATGTTTTTCTGTTATGTTAGACCACTCAGTGTCTCCGAATTAATTCAAGTTCTTTAGATCCGATTGTACCATTTTGCTGTCATAGAAAATATCAAGGATGTTTTAATACTTTGTTGACGAAAAATCTATCATTAAATTTAGTAATTCGTTTTGACCGAGAAATAGAATAACAAAAACACTTCGCATGCAATATTCCTCTCCACCAAATCCGAATAAATATCTATTAACATCGGAGGGGCGGGGAATGTGTCTACAGACATTTTGAAAGGATATCATGAACATTAAATTTAATGACATATTTCTGTAGATATTATTTAAGTTCCATTGTAACTTAATTGCATCCAATTAATATGGTATCATTTGTAAATAGCAGCGAGAGTTAAGGAATAATTGTATTGTATTTTTATACTTGCGAGTGTCAATCGTTTATTTTACTGTGGCAAATAACGGTTGTTTAATCTTACATTATGGTCTGCATTGAAATACATTATAGTAATTGCTATGCTGGTGCAATTGATAATTCGTTCCTGTTAATGATTTTTTATAGAAGCAAATGTCCTCTGCCATTGAACAGATTTTTTTCTGGCAGTTAATTGTGGATTTTATCCGTCAAAAAGAATGGCGTCTGTTGTTAATAATAATGTTATTAGAATAGATTTTCCATTCAAATTCCATTTTCAAATTCTGGAGATACTGTGTAAATCACACCATGTATTTATGATCATGTTTATGTCTGTAATTTGTCTGCACCAAGTCAGATAGATATTAAGTTGGTGTGGTAGTTCATCGTATTTGCTTTAAAGCTCTCTCTCTCTTCAATCACACGTACATTTCAAGTTGAAGATTTACAAACACAGAGCTGATGTAATGGAAATTAAATTAATATACCAACCTTTGTAGTAAAGACCAGTAGCTGCTAAATCGTTAGGTCTCTGTTTCAAGGTTTTTGACCATGTTTGGTAGGTAGACAGTCTGTCACAATATAAAGAATATTGGCTATTGTGCGGTTTTACATTCTTTTCTGGAGATTTATTTTCTTTCGTCTGACATTTCTGAACTGAGTTAGAAAATTCAAACCTCCTAACACAGTTATTGTTCTTCACACGAACAAGTTCACATTGTCCGAAATGTTTAGAATGTTCACGATGGACATCATCGTCTTTTGTCCAACCACTTAAAATTCCTCCACAAAAAGCACACTGGACCTTATCCTGGATTCCCATATAATAAAACCCATTATCACACAACTTTTCCGGTGATACGACAATATTTGATGGCCAGTTTGTGAATGTGTTTCGCCTTAATTCAACATCTACACGTAATGGGTGTAACCTTTCCAGTGGGTGCTGAGGTACTTCATCGTAGCCCCTTCTTAACAAGGACGGTGAGTGCATAACTGATAACATGCTGGCTGTAATTACTTAAACTGAAGCTGAACAACAACAACTAAAATAACAATATTAATCTCAAGTACAAAAACAATTGTGAAAAGTGCATCAGAAAGAAAAATATATACATCAAAGTTTGTACTAGCGTATGTTTTTGGTGACCGGTTCTATTACCACTGGCAAATTGTTTGTTGCATATATATACCGATGTACGAAACGGAAATTTTGAATTATAAACTAAAGTAAATTCAGGGGTTTTTGAGTTTCACGTGGAATCCAATCACCGCAAGTAGATACCCAATTTTTACATTGATAAAATACCGATAGAAGGTTATTTTGGTGTTGCTTCACATTTATTGATTTAAAAGTTTCCTTAATCATTAACACAAGGTATCCTAATTGTAATATGCTATATCATGAATAAATCTGACGATTTATACCTTCAATCGATTATATTTTAAGAAAAATTATTCAACAGTGTTTCATTATCACATGCAAAATACAACTTATCACTGTAAGACTTTATATGGTCTTTTGACTATATATTACTTGATATTTATTTCCTCACTACTTAAGCAAAAAGATGTTCACAACGGATTTTAATGAACTGAATAATGGGGAGTTTCTAAGTGACTCACATTTATTTCTTTCGAAACCAAATTGTAGACCACTTTAAATTTTTATTTTTTTCTCTAGTTGGCAAAAAATATACAACAAAAGACAAAGCGTCCTTAAATGCAATTTAGTTGTGAAATAATTAGCACACTTTTATACAACGTGAAAGAACGCCGTGATTTTCTATAGGGTCTTTTCTTTTGGGCGTAAAACAAGTTTCAAATGTTCAGATTAACATTCTCAGTTTTTTTTATTACAATAAAACAAATTAAATAATAAAATACAGGGAACAAAATGTATACGAATATTAATGCAGAGAGTGAAATTCGAAGAAGGCAGACAGAACCATGTTCATATTTCTAAATCAAGGCCACACATTGTGTACCTTTTTTTGGCCTCATGACAGACAAATAGAGTTGAGAAAATTATTTTTTTAAAGAAATAGTTTACCTAGACCATATCGGGAAATGTTTTTGATTAAAACAGTTTTTCCCTTTTTAACGAAATATGTCCTGATTAAAAGTGTTAAAGTGGGCATGACATTTTTTGGTAAGTAGGGAGGCAGAAACACAAAAACTTAGAAGGAAACGGACGCAATAATCTTAACTGAACAGCCATACAGTTCATCTTTGTATTAGTTATTAGGTTTTAGTTTTAAGTTTTTAGTTTTTTTGAAAAATAACATCTGCCTACCTTTTAACCGCTAGAAACGTCTATATATCATATGCCTGCTCCGTATCAGTAACCTTGCTTAAGCTGCCAACCCTCATGTAAAATATTCTCTGAAAAGTAACAATAAACGTATAATTGATCCCTTAACTAATCAAGATACATTATAAATAATTATATATATATGTAGAATATTCACAAATCATCACGTTACTTTTATAAACGATGTTTCCTAGCGCACAAATGAGCAAGTCATATATTAACATGATTAACAACAATCAGCACACATGACACTTACTTCACTAGATCCTTAAATATAAGTACATGTAGTATGTGGCCAATCATCAAACTAAAGTTCGAGTTAGGATTACTGTTCGATTTGAATTCGAAATTTTGACCAGCAGAGATCAAATGTATGGTGTCTTCAAATGACTTGATTTTGTCACATTATATGGTATAAATTGGATGAAACCCTACTTGTATATTTTTAAAGGGATTTGATAAATTACCGATCAACGTTTTTACATTTTGTTAATTAGAGCTTATATTTCTGACAATCTTACGAAAATTTTGCATCCGTTTGACGTATTTTTCATTCAAAGAAAGTATGTTATATGTTATATCATAAAGATATATTCATATATGGTTATATGTTATTAAATGATGGCAATTGAATCATACTAGATCTTACTTTTCAGAATTCGAACCCCCCCCCCCCTCAAAATTGATGGTGATTAGTCATCTTCGTATATTTATTTCACATTCAGATTAAGAGATATTTTGACATGAGAACACCCATTTTTTAATGTTATTGAGGTAACAAAAGGGTATATATAACCTAGGACGAAAGGTTACATTTATGATGTTATGTAAAGTTGTGCCGATTGCCTGTCCAAAAATACAATTGATCGGTTGTTGCTTACTTAACGCCCAGTGGCAATTATTTCATGCATATTCAGAAAACAAATTAACAATTAGCACAAAAGGTTTGTTCTCACAGGTGAACGACCGGGATGAAAGATGAAAATTTTTTACCACCACTGTAAAATAAATTAAGGGTATTTTGAATATATGTAGACATTTCGCCTTGCAACAGGGCATCTACAGACCCATCAGAGATTTGTGGCAAGGTTTGATTTTACTTGCAGAGAGCGTGACATCAAATTTAACGTAACGTCTCTATTCCGACCATGCATGTATGTGGTTACGACTTTGTATGCCTAACAATAACATCCTACACAACCACACTTTTAATAGAAAGGGTTTTACTGCCGTTCCGGGGATGACCATATTTCAATATGACTGACAAATGGAGTTCTACAACCATGCCCTTAACCATTTTTTAAAATGGTCCTACTTAGATCAAGACAGTTTATCAAAATTTGTATATTCCATCAAAGACTAGGGGGACAACGACACACCATTATAATAAAGAAAAATTATCAACGAATTTTTCTTACAATAAGTAAGAGAATTTTTAATTTGACTGCAGAAATTGACTATTAACGACTGAAAATGTAGTGTTAAAAAAAAACTTTCCCTGTTCTTGCCTTCTATCTATGACCTTTTAAAACACTCAGACTGTAATCTGAACTTATTAAAACAAAGTGCTGTAGAACAAAATGACCATTTTTGTCGAAACCTCGCACTATGCAGTGTCACAATTCTATCTATGTATATGTAAATAAAATTATTGTACTCACATTAAGCATCAAATACTGTAGCTATATTCCGATTAAAATGACGAAAGTAAATTTTTAATTTCAATAATTTAAAGTATGCACTCGCATAACCAATCAAAAATTGTTATATTTCATTACTATGGTTAAAAGCAGAAAGCAGTGTAAACTATTTACTTCATGATCAAAATTGCAAAATATTGTTTGTGTTTACAAAAATATGAACGAGAGACAAATGTTCTTAAAGATTAAAATATAATTAAAATATGAATAATTTAACCAATTAAACAGAAAAAAATAATTGAAACATGCTTATATAAAAAAATACCAGGAAATAACAACAAACTAGTCATACGATTTATAGAATTATAAAGAAGCTGCCAAATATATATACAGTGTAAAATCGCAACGGAAATGATTTAGCCCATTCTTCTTCTCTTTAGTATTTATTCACCTCGTAAAATTACCAGATTGAAATTCAGATTATTTTACTCGTGTATTTTCTAAATGAACAATAGAAACTGATTTTGTAGATAATTAAAAACAAGCTAGGTGAGTGCAAACCAGACAAGATGCCATCTGTTGAACGTTTTCGGAAGACATCTACATGTGCACATGTACGTGATTTAGTTCAATTTTTCTTCCTTGAGACTTTCTGAGACTTACCAAGGTATTTTGGAAAATTGTATGATATTTCTTTATGTGAAAGTGTTTGTCGGTAACATGCTAAATGCTTTTTTTTATACACCGGACACTCCTGTTTACCCCATAAGTGAAAATGACCACTATAAAATTGTACGAATATATAGAATATAATGCGTGAAACCGTCACAATCTTACAGCATAAAAACAAAACAAAAACACTTAAAAGGCACATTTAATATGGGGAAATAACTATTGTTACTTGTTTCTTGTAATACACCCTAAACGTCTGTCCAAATATCTAAACATGTTTATGAAACCCAAATGGAAAGTTTTTTTAATGTTAACACTGCACTATTTAGCTAATCATTTTTGTTTTCGACCACGTCGCCAAATTTTTTATATAATTGGGAAAATCCCTCTCCTTTTGAAAACGTAATCAATATTAAAATATTATTGCTGACGTCGGTTTACCAATGAGAAGGTATAGTCCTAATCTATAATAAGATAGTCCTAATCTATAATGAGATTAAGGATAGGATATCGGGTGGCGACATACTTTACCTCTATTTTTTCCATTATTTTTTTGTTCGATGTTTGCCTTATTTACTACCAAGCTGTCGCCTTTCTCAAAATCAGAACCCAGACATACGTTACATATATAGATCTAATTCGGGAATGATTTGTGATATGAATACGAGCCCCGCTTTGTATAATATCGACACTCAATGCTGATTTTTTTTAAAGTACTGTCTAGCTTATACGATAACCGCGAAGGCAGCCTGTCAACCCTCCGGACACATTATTCGTCTTACTTATATAAAGTCTTGGTACTTGATCGTAAACATGGTTAATGAAGCGAGCATAGCGAAATAAACCCCGGAATATTCCAAGGTTGTAGCCGTTAAATCCGACAGCGGTTTGATCTCGAAACTCCAAGACAGAGATTAAATAGCATGCATTCTCCTTTAATTGTAATATTCAGTATGAAGTTTGAATGAGCTTATTTTTCCTGTTGAGAATAAAAAAAATATGGCCATTCACTCTCCAGTCTTTATGCCTTTTGCATGACCAACCTGGCCATTTCTCCCCATAGGAAAATCTGTTCAATAAGTAAAGTAATACTGTTGTTGGCCCAAATGTGTCCGATGATCCCACATGCAACCAATATGGCCACCAAGGCCAAATATAAGACATAGTGGTAAAGTGCAAGTTGTCTCTATTATTATGAAAATCAACATAAATAGCGAAAATCTGACGGGGCAGAAATGTTCAGAATGTAAAGACAAAAAATGTCAGACGACACCTTACACGCGTTATTGCTTTGAAATGATGATTGATACAATTGTTTTTTTACCTTTTTCTTAAAAACTATAATAGATACAAAGAAACTTTATATAACAAAAATTATCAGCAAGACAAGGTCTACAAATTAGTCAAACATGACCGAAATCATTAGTCAATTCCTTAATCATGTTAATGGAGTTATTGGCTCTAAATGACGATTTTAACTGTTCATCCTAAAATAAACTTTACCATGTTAACACGATTGTGGTGTAAATCTCACAAAGTCTACCTGAATCATTTTGCAAAGCATTCCGCTACAACCTGTTTATAATTAATAGTAGAAACTGGTTACAACCAATAATTGTGGTTAAAGTATACCAAAAAGTATGGTAAAAAATTACAAATATTAACCACTCACTGTGGTTAAAACTGACCAGTTTTGATTGTCACTATTCATTTCAATATTCAACATGCTGATGACTATTTGGTTCTATTCTGATTGTTTAAACTGTCGATACGATCTGATATATAATAAAATCATTTGTATTATGAAAATCTTGAGTTGGCTAGCCATAATCACGATACTGGTTCATGCTCGTAACTGAGACACTAAATACACTGAACCCAAAATTGTAAAGAAAGGCGAGCGCGTTACATTTATACCTCCGACGGGACACTTAAAAAGTGTTTTCAAATTTAATATTTATATATAAATTTATTTTTTCGTAAATAAGGCTGAGTTAAATGAATTTGAAGAAGCATATTTGAGTCAGTATGATCCTCATACTGAAGATGATTTGGATAAATCTGAACCTAGATCTGATACACGACGAAGATCAGAAAATGAGCAAATGGTTGAATGTATATTTGAGATGGTGTATAAAGAAATTTACTCATATAAGATTTCTTTCAATGCTGTATGTGACAATAATACTGGTCAGTTCTCGGGCTTAGTTGCAGCCATCAGTACGATTGGTGGCACTGTGACTAATTTTAAAGAGACCCAAGAAGTATTAGCTAGTACACAAACTACTATAAAAAGCACTATTGATACATTGGCAAGCAACATGAATTCTCTGGCGGAACCTGTTAAAATTTTCAAACAGGAAGTGAGAGAATTGAATAAATCAAATGTTCATTTAACACAGAAAGTAGAATGTTTGTCCAAGGCAATAGAGGTAACAGATAAAACTGAATCAATTAAAATGCACCAAAGACAGAATCTAAATGATGCTGGTGATAAAAAGTCTACAACCTTACCTGACGGTTAATTTTCTAAGTTAAGATGGGGGTCCGTTAGCATGATTACAGACACAACTTATTTGGAAAATGAAAAGGGTGATATTCCAATAGATAATACACTTTTGTTTGATGAACCAGGTCTTGGTTCACCACCACTTTTAGGGAGTATCCCAGTAAGTGTAAAATCTCATGCAGAGGTTGAAACTCTCAAAACAGGTATAAATTTATCGCCAGACTTTTCTCCAGGGCAGATAAAACTGAAGCCACCTTCTTTTGATGGTAGAGAAGATTGGGAGGAATATGTTTCCCAGTTTGAAATTTTAGCTGATTTGAATAAATGGTAAACCCATAGAAAAGGTCTTTACTTAGCTAGTAGTTTAAAGGGTTCTGCAAGGGCTGCTCTGAGTGATTTAAACCAGACTGA